TATGCTTCACTGGATTTGAATCTGTATTTTTCTTTTATTTTTTTTTAACAGAAAATAACATGCATATTCCAAATAAAGGGGTATGAATTTGTGGACAACCTGATGTGCCACTACCAACACATATGCCATTAAACAATTACCTGATATTTCAAGAGAAAGGGAAACAAACAATTCAAACAACTGCTAGATGCGGTACTCAATTGCTCTGCATTGCTTTGTAGAAGGTGCAGGGATGTAGTCTGGTGTTTATATGTATGGAAAGTCTTGATACAAAATTCTCACAAAGTAATGAAATAATAAATTAACCACCTATTTAATTTATAAAAAAGAAATTACGGTTATGGGGACAACGTTATGTGAAAGAGGACATGCAAGATGTTATTTTAAAAAAAAACTATAATAAAAGGGTAAAACCAGAGACTTTATCTGTTTGTTATGTTATCTTTGTCTTTATTAAACACTGTTTATGGTGTGTTGAACAGGTAAGTTGACAGAGAGTAGCAAAGTATGATACTGATAACCCCTCCCCCCACCATATACACACACACACATTCTAGCCCATTTGCACCAGACTTGTGTTTTGGGGTGGCATTTTTGCGTGCTTCCTCTTGAAATACCAGGTTGATTGTAAAGGGCATACAGATCGATATCCAGTTAGTAAAGGCCCAACTGGCTCATGGTCATCTTGCTATAGGGATATCAACTCATATGCCTGGTGTGTTGACCTGATATTGTTTGGGGAGAGAGGCTTTTTAAATAAAGTATGTTTAACAAAAAAAAAAAAGTCTGCAAATATCTGTTATTAGTTAGAAAACCCACTATGCTTTGTTTACTCATATCTAATTAAAGCTGTAAACCAGGGTAATCTGATCTGGCTGATAAGCATTCTTCATCCTGCCTTTAAATCAAGTCAAGATCAACATCAGGTAAAGATTTTGAACACAAAACATTTTGCAATTTTGTATATAGGCATCAAAACGATTATTACTATGATAGTATTTATAATTTCTCACTGAGCTTAGTGTTAGGGGATAGGTAAAGGTCAGAGATTTGGTTTAAGAGTTAAGCTTACGGTTAGGCTCATGTCAGCTGTCAGTAAGTAGTGGTTGATTTGGATGTAAGGAATTTATTTGATAATTTTCATAAATATGTGCAAAAAAACCCATACAATAAGTTACTGGTGCACTTTGCAGGGGAACTTGTCCTTTAGTTTAGTGAATGAGGTGAAGCTTTGCTGACTTTCATCACCCAACCATGTGCAAATGTGTTTTTTTTAGTTAATTTTCCTTGCGCAATACTGGACTTTGTTAAGTGAATTTCACAACATTCACTAAGCTATGGGGAAACTTTTCCCACAAAGTGCAAATTCCCTTGCAATGTGAACTGACTATTTGCCTTTAGTAAATCAACTGTTACCTTAGGAGTTTATGTCAAATCTTCATAAGACATATGTATATAGTTTTATTTCTTGTTTTAAATAGGTGGGGGTAGCTTGTAGGGAAATAACGTCTTTGTTGTGTTTATCACTGTGGAGGGGAGTGGCAGGCCCAATGACTTGCAAATAGGGCTGGTAATCAGGTTTTTCCTGAGCCAAGACCCTTTGATCTAATAACAAGTAGACTGGCCAATCGTAGAGGGGGGTGTGGAGTTGTAAAGAGGGTCTTGGAAACCCTCCAATCTCCATTAGGCCTTGGGAGGCAACCAATGGGAGATGTGCCATGCATCCCTATGGACACCATGGGTATATTGATGACTGGAAAAAGCAGCTCTGCCTTTTTTACCAGGATGGGGACCTCATGTGATGATTAATGGGTAACTATACAATAAAATCTTTCCCCCACTTAAATGTATGTCTGTTTGTCTGTTAGATACCAATGTCTGGGTATTTGGCATGTTTAAATCTTTTCTTTGTATGTTGTAGTTAAATAGATTGTTGGTTCATTGTATTTAAGTCTTGATACTATATACCAATAAATTCTGTTATTGTGTTGAGCTCAAAAATCTCATGAATGAATCCTTAGAATATTATACCTGTAAGTGTGAATGCTTATATAGCGGTTCATAACTTAAAATAGTAATTCAGGTAACACAACCCCCATAAATCCTGCACCCAAAACAAACACTAATTTTCAAAATAAACTAACATACCAGTATATTTAAACATTTCCACTTTACACATGTTTGATAAATATTTGATCAATAAATTTGACACTATAAGAATGTGCATTAAATTCATCCGTGCTGTAAAAATATTAATTACCTCTCTTATTTCCCTGTGTACAGATCTTTGCATTATCCCTGTTGCCCAATACTTAAAATTAATATTTTTTAGGTAAAGTGTAGCAAGTATGTAGGACCTTGTATAGCAGGCAGCAAAAGGTGTCTGCTCTTAATTTAATTGTGCTACCCATCACTCCAATATGCTATTAGAGACCTCTCAATGCTCAGAGTAAATGCAAATTGCTCTCAAATACAGAGAAATTTTTAACATGTATCCCATATGTACAAAGTTTGAATTGTAAATATAATGGCTGTAGAGTGCAGTAAAGGTAAGAGCAGGTGCTCTTTTAACAGCCAACATTAAGCATGAAAACAGTACTCAATAACTTAAAGTTAATGTCAAACATTTATATGGTGTGGATTAGGAAATACCTGCATGGCTTTCTGAAATCCTCTCACATAGAATCATAAAACATATAAGGTGATGATGATGTTTATCATGCATTCCTAAAGTAAACAGTTACTGCAAAAGGCAAGTGTGCATACAATGACATGTATGGCCTTGTTTCTTAAAAAGTAACTAAATATAAGTAAGCAATTAATAAAGATTACTGAAGAGCCCTCAGTAAATAATTTGGCAGTTGGAATAGATATTCTTTGCTCAAAATCGAATTGCTGTTTGTCACATAAAAATACTAATATTCTCAAAATAATTAGCACAAAGGATGCCAGATTAAATAGAAAATAACACATTTTTACTCTGGCTTTTGCACAAATGGTAAAGTAAGATGAACATATGGAGTCCAGACTTTGAGGTATAATACTTCAGTCTTTGATCACAAGACAAGAGAGTACAGTCACAATGAAGCATGTGGCCAGGATGACAGCATAAAAGATACACACACAGCTGCCTAGTAAGTGGTGTGTCTGCCTCTAGCACACAGAAGGACGATTAGGTATTCTTGAAATGACACTCAGATAGTAAGGTAACAGCATTTCTCAGCACAGAAATAATTAGTTTCATTTACTCACTACATCTACTTGTCAGCTTCTATTCATTTTCCTTTGTGAACTATTGTGTCTGTGCATAGCTCATTTTAAACAATACAAAATTAAAAATAGGGGGAAAGCAATATAATATCCTGTACCCAGAATGGAAATGCAAACTCATTATAGGTGATAAAAAACCTGTCCTGGGCCATGCTTTTTTTTTTAAATATGCAGCCGATTGTTAAACCAGAGCAAGAGTGTCTATGAGATTTATTCACTGAATAATGCCTAATGATGCTATATTTGTTTAAAGGTAAAAAATGTAAGGCAGCAAACCATTAAATATATGCTGTGTTCATGTGTTTCTTTTTGCATCAAATATGTTACATATTTCTGAGCCTTCTTGCTAAATCCCCACAAACAGCATCAGAAGATTACAGGGAAAGTTGTGCCTTACTTCACCATAAATTCCATGTTGCATTACATATATGTTTAAAATTGACAGATCTATAATTAAAATACAGATACAAAATAGCTAAACTTAATTCAGCTATATATTTATATAAAAAAAGATTAAAATATATCTTACATGGAACTTGTATAAGTACCTACATCTAGTTTGATATCAGCTGGAACAGGAAGGGTCAGGAGCAATTAATGCTTTAATGCTGAGCACAGTGCTGTTTGTTCAGCATTCTGAAAGTGCTTACAGGAGGAGAAAGTGCAGATTACAAAATCTCTAATTTATGATTCTCCAAATGTTTCTGTCTGGATGTTTTCATGCAAATCTATCTTATGTGTTGAATATTACACAGTCATGGAATCCAGATGATCGTGACTCATACATTTTAACTAGAAGCAGTAGTTTCAAACTAGCAGTTGATGGTGTTCTTGAAGTTTGTATGGACCCAATAGAAACTATACATATATATACTATACAGTTCTCTCACTTTCCCTTACATCTTTTCAGCTACTTATGTCACAAATGAAAGTAATATTATACCTTTCTTTTTTTAACTTTGTTTTGTTATGGGGGCCAGACTTACTTAAAAACTTTTTTTATTCTTTAAATGTTTTTATTTCCTTGTTCTTTAGTGGTACCCTCCCCCCTCTCCCATAACAGTGCCTCCCATAGCAGTGCCTCCATCAGTAAGCTAGTTGCTGTGTAGGCACCCGTGCATGTACACTGATGGCCATGCCAGCACCCAGCTGTGTGCATCTATAGAAACACACAGTGTGTGGCCAGCCACGCTCCCACCTTTACAGTCAAAGTTTGACTGATGGCAGAAGCAGCCTATGGCTCTCCTGCCCTCAGTACTCTGCCTACAACCTGGAAGTTCAGAGGACCCTGAGTATCTTTCCAGTCGAGGAGTAGGATACAAGCACCCACAGGCAAGTGTTTTTTTTTTTTTAGAAAAGTACTGGGTGGTTTTTTACCTTAATGCAGACAATGCATTAAGGTAAAAAACACCAAGCCCATACTGAACAAAAGTATTTCACTTAATTTGACTTATGAGTATTTTCAAGTAGTTTGATTTTCAACTATAGTAGCATAGATTATTTTTCTCTATTTTCAGTAAGATAGATTTATATTAATGTATGAAAGAACATCATTCGTAAATAAAGAATCAGTCAAATTCTTCTGGCCATTTTTAACTTGCCCTTGAAACATAGAAGACAGAAACTGATTAGTTGCTTCAGGGAAACAAAGCATTTCGGGTATCAATGATACCCTGTGCTCATGTTAAAAATTAGGAACAGATGGTATTGTGTTAAATAAAATGTATATGTAGAGAAACCAGGATCTTATTAAGTCAAGCTCCAACTCATTCTTTTGTGCTGACCTGGCCACAGATCCTTCAGCACACAAAGCCATTTACTAGATTTACATAACTCTGAAACTCTCATTTTGGGAACAAATTTGCTTTTGTGTCATTGTTATTAATTTGCACCCATTTCATATTACTTAGTATGTTAAATGCACCTAAACAACTACAGCCTCTTAGTGCAAATTGCAATGCATTTGAACAGCTAGTATCTTAATGTCTTTTCACTTACCAAAGCACTTGCTCAGATTGGTCTGTTTGTCTATGAAGACTTTAGCAGAGATGACATTTCCAAATGGCATGAACATCTGGAGAATGTCCTGGTCACCAAACTCTTGCGGTAGATGGTAAATGAAGAGATTTGCACCTTCTGGACCTTTAGATGAAAAGTAAAGATAACTTCACTTCAGTATACTTATAAAGTGGTAGCCCTCACTGTTAATAAGCAAATTGAGTGGCCTATATTGTTCTGAAATTATTATTATTTACTACTTTGGCCACACAAAATGATAGAAATGTGAAATCTAGTTCATATGGATAACAGTAAGCTATTGATCATGAAGTTGTGACTCTTACCCTCAAAACAACCTTTCGGAATAATGGAGGTTTTCTTCTATTTATGGTTTACAGTAAAAAATAAATTGTTGCTGAGGCCTTTATTATAAAGCCCCAACTGATTGAAACGTTTAGTGTCAATCAGCTAAATACAATCCAGTTATATCAAAACATACAGGGTGTAAAGACTTACAGTTCATTTTCTTTGTTTTCAATCTTTTTATTAAATTTCAAATAAACAAAACAGAACATACATAATGGAAATCAATCATAGATTGTCCATCTAAAACAAAACATATATTCAAATGAATCAAACTAACAAAAGAAACTACAAAAATAAAAACACACTATCTCTAATTAGACACTTCCTATCAAACAATATAGTTTATCTCCTTTCATTATAGGTAAAAGTGCACTGCGCTAATAACAATCTAAATATTTTGTGAATACCTTAATACTTCATACATTTAAAATATATAAACAACTTTGAGCATAATACAATATAATATAAAATCAATATGTGCAGTCCTTGTTAAATAACATACATTGTGTGACAATAATTTGTGCAATCCTCTTAGTAGGATGCCTTTATTAACTTTGAAGACACACGAAGTGTTTTGTTTTTTTATTTTGAAAGGACATTGCACTTTACTAAGAGGATTGCACAAATTGATGTTGCAGAATCTATGTTATTTAACAAGGACTGCACATATCGATTTTATATGATATTGTATTATGCACAAAGTTGTTTCTATTTTTTACATTTATGAAGTATTAAGGTATTCACAAAATAATTAGCTTGTTATTAGTGCAGTGCACTTTTACCTGTATAGAATTGTGACTATAGTGTGGAGCATTTCTGTTTATATCTCCTTTCATTGTTAAGCCCTTTCCACAATCACACCCCCTATACCACATCCACCCCCCCCCCTCATAAAGCACTGCCACCCAAAAAAAAAAATCTTCCCCTTCCTCCTCTCCTATATATTCCTGGGACAGTCCATTTCCTTATGGCTTCAACACAGATCTAATAGGATACATCAAAGTCGAAAGACATGTAGTTTTTAATCCACGGTGCTCAAATTTCCTTAGATTTTGGTATTGTATCATTTAGTCTTGCAGATAGTTTCTCATTTGTCATAAACCAGGAAACTTTCTGTTTAACCTACGGTACTTTTGCAATAGTGGATTTGCAGGATCTTGTCACTACTAATTTTGCTGCCGTAAATATATATGTTACCAATGTAAATTAAACAAGCGTACATCCTCCTGGCTTCAGACTTAATAGGGCTTCCCAGGGGTTTCTCCTTATACTCTTTCCTATAACCGTATTTATCAATTGACAGACCCCAGCATAGAACCAATTGATCTTGGGACAGCTCCACCAAACCTCTTGCAATAACTTGTAATTTGCATAAATAGTCAAAGAATTAATTGAACAATGTGCAATCGTGTCCCTGATCTGGACCCATTCTTGTCGTCTAAACCCAAGTTCATTTTATTTAGAAAACAGTCACAGCCTGAGTAGAAAAGCCTCTCCACTGCCATCAGGCTACAGAGAAGGACTCTTGTCTCTGAATGGAAGCAGTGTTCTCTGTGCAAAGGTCTGACACACCACCTGCTAAGTCAGACCTAGAGCTTTCCACTTAGCAGAAAGTATGGGTTTTGCTAATTAAAGAGCCATATGTGTGTTGAACTGCATTGTTAGCTGATTTAAAGCAGACTGGCTAAATTTATCAAACATGTGCAAGTCACTATTTTCATGCTATCTCAATCTGGGAATTTGGAGCACGGTTGATCGAATGACTGGGCATCATCTCTTCTCTCTGCTTCAAGCTCTAATTGTAGTAAACAAGTGAAACTGTGTGCAGTGGCCTGAGGTCTACCTAAAATGTGGGTCTTTAGGAATTAAGGAAAAAATATGCATTACATGCACTCTTACCCATGTCTTGTCTCTTAAAAAACACATGTACATAAAAATACATGTTGATCCAGCCAGACATGTGTTGAGCTCACAATGCTGGATCTACTACAATGAAATTGAAAGCAATGTTATTTGCCCTTTGTGAGTTCTCCCCTGCTGGACTGTAGAAAGGGACAGGGGAGGTGTTCTGCAGTCCAGCAGTTTGAGTGCAATAGAGGCAGTGTTGTCAGCTTACTACAAGAAGTTAGGAGCTAACTGGAATTCTGGCAAGACCAACATGTCTCTTTTCTATAGTTGCAGTGTTTTTAAAGATACAAATATGAGGAAATGTATATGTATTGCAGAGATTTACGGAGACATAAACTTTAGGAATATAGGTTAATGCAAGTGAATATAACTTGTTATATTGCATTTATTTGCCTCAACGATCGAATCATTTCTGATTTTCATTTTGCTGACATCTAAAATCAATCAACTGTTATGAAAATCACTTTTCTCAAGTAGTCAGTCTCTAAATCAATTCAGTATTGTGAAGACAAAAAACAGCCCCTATCAAATTAAACAGATTATTAGTACATTTATGGCCATTTCCTGGTGCAAAATCAGTTGAGATAACCACATGGTTACCAAAATTCCACAGCCAATACAATAACCAAAAATTTTATTTACAGAATGAAAACTTTAGTTGCTGCTTTCACTAGTGAAAGCTGGTGTTGAAGCCATAGGATTAGATGATATAGATTCCAGGATATTAAAGCAGCTTATTGGTTTCCTTTCAGTACAACTACCAGAACTGTGCAAGCAGTCACTATTGACAGATATAATTCCAGATGACTGGCGACTTGCAAATTTAGCCTCTCCACACAGAAGTGGAAGTATGGCATAATCACAAAACTACAGATCAGTGAGTCACATGTTAAGTGTAGAGATCTAAATAAAGTCAGTATTGAAATCATCTGAATATATTATCTAGCAAACTATATTAGTATTAATTGTGAAGGCAAATATGTCTTCATATAAGGAAAATATGTTTTAGCCCATATGTCTGCAGATAAAAAATAGAATACCAATGATTTATGTATATTATATAAAAATGGTGTCCATGTTAAGTAGGTGCTTGAAAGTTGTTGCTTCAGAAGGTAAATATTTATTTGTCATACAGCAATAAACGTAATTTTGTTCCAGGATCAAACTAGCGCCCAGCGCAAGATCATCTGGAATACCCCAATAGACATGGACCACCATTTCTGCACAGAGACAGATATATTCTCCGCAATCTCCAAGATTAGGTTGCTTGATACTTAATGAGCTTCTTGCAACCTCACACATGTGAGAATATAATCTAGAATAACTTTGATTTTCTTTAAACTTAAGACTTTTTGGAATACACTAATACACTTTAATTTTGCCTTGATCCACAGGCTGTCACATTGACAACCCATGAATAACAAATACAATTGTCACTGACATCAAGAAGCACATAAATTAAATACAAAATTGAACCTCGTCTTATAGGTTCTTTAAGATTGCTCCTAAACATATGACTCTGATGAAGCATAATAGCATAACTGTGATGTGATGGAGTGTGTGCCCACATCCAAGCGCAGAATAAATGGGATCCAGGCTATGGGAACTCCTTGGTGTGGTTGGGCTCCCACATACAGGATGATTTAGGCTGATTGAGGATGATTTATAGGAGTTCAGAATCTTCACACAATAAATTATGTGATTATGTAAATATTCACTTCAATTATCCAATCATGTGAAAAGCAAACTCATGTTTCCTTATTTAATCTGCAAACGTTTGGATAAATAGCAAGTACATATTTACCCAGTTTACTGTGTGAAGATTTTTGAATCCTTTAGTAAATCAGCCCAACTGTTACTGTGCTTGCGGGGATTCTAGTAATCTTCATAATCATGCCATTGTACAGGAATGGCATTCAGTGGTCAATGATGTAAGGACACTAGTTTCACCATGGTCAGTATAATAATATAATTGAGCTATAGCCCAAAATTAGGACATTGTTGTACTCATGGCATTAGAGTGAAAAGTCTGGGCTCTATTCACAAATGGGTGAAGAGTTTGGAGAAGTCAGGAGAAGTGAACAATCTAGGACAACATAGCTGAACTCGAAAGTGAGCTGAATTGGAGAATTTCTTTTTTGGCCTAGATTGTTCACTTCTCCTGCCTTTTCCAAACTCTTCACCCTTTAGTGAATAGACCCCTCTGTTTTTATGTTACTCCTATTTCTAATGCGACGTATACTCATCATATATCATCTCATATATACATAAACTGACTTGCATAGAATCTCACAGATACTGTAACTAGAATGCCAGACATCTGAGCCCTGTATGACTATAATAAAAAGTGCTTATTTATCTGAAGAAACGTGCTCGGTATAAAGCTCTAGTAATTGCTTTTTGCTATGAAAGTGTCTGAAGATTTAGAAATTCGGTTTGAAGGACTTTTCCTGAATTAGCAGCATTCTTAAATCTTGCAAAACATTTAATAAACTGATGTAATAGCAGAAATAAAGCAGCATTTTGGATGCTGCCTTTACATTTTAGAATACTGCCGTAGAAGGATAGGTTGATATGTGCTAAGAAACCAGGGAATTAATAACTCTTTCAGTCTCTAATGTGTTAATAGTTGTCATATCACTAATTTAAAAATGACAGTAATGGTGAAAACACCGTAGGAAACTTTTATCTCAAGTAATCTCACCAGGGATGATACTACGGAATAAGGTCCCCATTCCAAATGTGATCTTATATAATGTGTTGCCTCTTACACATTAGAGTTTGAAAAATTGTGCTGCTCCAGACAAGATTGAAGCGTAGGTAATGTCATTTTCAAGTTGGCCTATTCCACTGAATGGACTGCACTGTGACTCCAAATGTACAATAAGTTCTTATTACACAACAAGGACCTATAAATATGACAGTGTCATCTTTCTTGGGAGATGTGGATTGAAAATAAATCTAATGAAAATTCAGTCATCTTTGAAGCCATCAATCAAATATCTCCCTATGCAGCATTCTTTTAAGCCACACTTTGGATAAAGCCATTTACAAAACTACATTCTTTAGAAAGTCTTACCTTCTTTCTGACTGCCTGCAGCACTCTGCTGCTGTAGCAAACTCTGACTGTAAAGTGTTGGCAGTGCCGCAGCGGCATACTGCTGAATTCCTGAGTAAGCCTGGGTGAGGGCATCCATTGTACCGGCTGTACCGTTCGTCAGGCCTGTTGCGCCAAGTCCTCCATTCAGAGCAGCCATACCTGAGAGCATTTGAGCAACTTTACAAAAAACCCAACAATAGAGAAAAGAAATTGCACTTGTTCATTAGTGCTTTCTAAAAATATTGACCAATACCATTTACACCAAAAATTACTGTACTGCATGCAATAGTAACGATGACCACACCAATAAGTAGGAACCAATACAAAAGGACTTTAAAACAATGGTGGGTGCAAATAATTAAATGCATGCATGTATCTACAAATCAGGTGGTTCAACTTGACTACATTTGACATTTTTATCATAAACAGAACCATGCAATAATAACAATATTATACAGAACAAAAACTAAGACGTTAAAGTATATGAATGATAAAAACATATAAACATCATATATATATATTTTAAACTATGATGTGGTTAATTTTTTCATCTCTACCTAGCTAAAATTTTATATGTTAAAACAAACACACATCTCCATTATTTAATTTTTTGCTCTGTTTTAAGACAAAGTGGGTGAGGGTTAGAACCCCAGTCAGGCTTTTGTTGCTGTGCTCACCCCCAGCTGTCTGCCCTGGTGACACAACAGGAAGTGAAGAGAAATCTTCCCTGGTGCCCCAGAGGCAGTGGAACCTCACAGAGTCTCTAACCCTTACCTATTGTGAATGGTATTCTAAGGGTAATCAAAATTATTTGATCACTTTCTGTATTCTCACTGGAGATATGTCACTAAAAAACAATATTATAGATAGTTGGAAATCATGAAGTGCAGCTTTTGATAGTAGCATTTAACTATTAAATGACATCTGAAAAGAACTCCAGTATATAACATTAAGGGTCTACTACAGCTAAAATATTGAATTTTGATAAGCGTTTGGTGTTAATACCTGTACTAATAGTAGTTAGTGTCTAATTATTATTTTCAGTTCATAGGCTTTTATTTCTATTTTTCATCTTTACATACAGGCCAAGCTGTCCAGCCAATGTGACAGTGGGGGAAAACTACCATACTGGCATAGGGGGTAACAATGGTCAGCTTTTATTCATACGGTTTAAATTAGGGATGCACCGATACCAAGTACCGTACTTGGTACAAGTACAAGTACAGATACTTTTTGAGCTTCAAGAGTAGACTAGAGAAAAATTCTAAAGTTAGGAGGCAGCTGTCATTTGTAAGGAGCACACGGAGCTCCTGGGATTTGTACATCTCTGTTTTAATGTATGATTTTGTTTTTATAAATATAAATAAAGGGATGCACCGATACCAGTTTTGCAAGTACTGATACTTGCCCAAGTACTTACAAGTACAAGTACTGATAAATTTTTGTTTATTGTCATGTAACAGTTTTCCTAAAACAATATCGACTAATGATTTCAAGTCAGTGATGGAGCGCCAGAGCCCGGTCCCAGCTGCAATCGCTGCAACCCCGGTAGTTCTCATGAAAATACCAAGTATAGGCACTGGTACTCGAAAAGTATCGGTGCATCCCTAGTTTAAATCTTTAGCTGGAGTTTAGCTTCAATTTTTTTGTCACTTACTTCCATCTAAAACTACATGTTCATCTAAGGGTTACCATAGAAGTTACAATCTGGGCATACAATCTTTGCACCATCAACTTTAGATTTACCAAATCTATGTAATATAAAGACCTACCCAATAAATCCTATCAATTTGTATCCAATAATGCAGGCCCTTGCATTACATAGTTGTTGGCAGATCTAAAGGACAATCAGATTGTAACGTTTAGTGTGCTTTAGACTAACCTGTCCACTGGGTGATAACTCTGCACTGATTTCACCAAAAACTGAAATGCAGTATTACCCTATTATAGGTAGTGGAAGATCAAAAATGTCCAGTCTATATGGACATTTGAAATACAGGATTTGCAATGCATAGTTTTGGTTTTTAACACACTTCATTATTCTATTTTTATTTTATTACACACTTCATTGTAATAATAATTATAGTATAAAAAAATCAATGGAAAATGCCATCCACAACAGCACTAAATACTCACTGTTTACGGTACCTGCTAGTGCATTAATATTGTTCAATCCCACTGTGGCTCCAGCCAATCCCTGTAGAGTGCCGAGAGAGGTCAAAGAATTCATGGCAGCTCCAGCAGAGGTATTTGCAGCTGATGCAGCCACTAGAATTAAAAACCAAAATTGTTTCAGTTAATAAGAATCTGCAAATAATTAAAAAGACAAACATACAGGTCGCTAAGTTTAGGAATCCTTAGCATAGCACATTTAAACCGTTGCCCATAGCATCAAATATCTTGTTTTCTTGTACAAACATAAAAGGGGTAATCAGAGGTAATAATGTATTGGAATGCACACAAAACAGCTCAGTGTTTGCTTTACTCTGCTTTTTTTGTAGAAGTTTTTCAAATTACCATTTTCTCTGTGTTGTACATCACTTTTGTATATAAGAAGCTCCCAGATGGACTGTTAATGTTATAAAGGCAATAAGTGAACATTATTTCTTGCATGGTTTGAACTTAAATGTGAACGTAAGCAACTTAAAACTTTCTTCCACTGGTATCCCCTCACCTCCTGTTCCGGTGACTCCTCTAATTTTTGGGGGATTTAGCATTTCTTTCTATTTCAGTGACAGTGGTCACCAGGACAAATAGTGGGGGGAATCTAAAGATTAGTGTAGCTTCCCTCCTCACCTTGTTAACTGTGAACATCTGCCATATACTGTATGCTATCAACAAGAACAGACCCGCAGGCTGAGTCAGATCTTCAAGCACCTTCTCTCCATAATTACACCCCATAAACTCCCCCTCACAGCGTTGCTATACAAAATAACATTGGAGCACAAAAATTGTATGCCTCATGTACACCTTTCTGCTTAGTTAGATCACTATGCACAACAGGAGAGGCTAACACTGCATTAGCAAAACATTCTCTGCATGATTTCATGTAATAAGTTCAAATTTCTTTGCTGTGTTGCAGACAAATTCCCTGTAGTAGGTATCCTTGGTTTCAAGACAAAAGCTGTTCAGCATTAAAAAAAGGAAAGATCCGTAATGTATTATTTTCAGCTTTACAGCCTTGAATGTGTTAACCCGGCAACTGGCAGAAGTACTAATCTAGGGCAAGATTCATTGTACAAAACACATTGTACAAGGAATCAAACCCGCAAAACATTTGAACAAACTGAAATGAGAATGTGTGAAAGAGAGGTGCTAGCACAGCAGAAAAATGTAATATCATAATAAAGCATGGCTCCCTTCTGACAACTTGAAACCAGAGGTACCGTTCACAGAGAATATGAAGCTAGAGCCAGGCACTTGTTTCATCTTCCAGTTCTTATCATTGTCTTGCCCTTCAAGCACCATAAAAGGCAGACTTTAATAGAGCTACCTGTATTCAGAAAGCAGATTTTCCCTTGCTCCTTGGTCCTCTTATAGCATCGTACCAACTTTTTTTTTACATTTCTAACTGTCAACCTCAATTTTAAAAAAGGACAGACTTTATTCAGCTTTCTACCCTTTATTTCATGTTATGGTGGAAAAGTATTAAAGAAGAACTCTGGACAAATAAAATTTTAACCCTTGAAGTAGGGCTACCCCCCGCAATGCAAGGATTAAGTGTTCATTTTGTCTAGGAAGCTCAGATAACAGAAATATACTCACCCAAACTGCAATCCCGCTTGACTCCTAGACCAGTGGTGGTATGTCCCTCAGCATCCTCACGTCCTATACATTGTATGGGGCGTGATGACTCACAGGACCTTAGAGCACTCGAGCAGAGGAAGAGACAGACCGCAGAGACAGTCTAGGAGCCAGCCGGGATCGCAGTTCAGGTGAGTATAACTTTGTTATTTTAGCTCCCTAGACAAAATGTGCACTTAACCCTTGCAGTGCGGAGATAGCCCAACTGCAAGGGTTAAGATTTTGTTTTCCCAGAGTTCTTCTTTTATGTATTGGATTGTTTACAATAATCTGTATATAAATACCCATCACTCAATTCTTATAAATTAGTTTTTGAACCAGAATAAAATGGCTTTGAACTATTAAGTTATTATGCATATAGATGGACAATGGCTTATTACAGTGATTCTTTACTTTATTTCAGAAAAAGGCATTTAATAATGTTCTGCAGTGGGATTCTTGATCTCAGACCCCCGGGTGTGGCTTTTTAGTATAACACTGCTAAACACACACTCACTTTCCTGTTTTCGAAAGCAGGTACTTTTTTATATTTCTCCAGAAACAAAAAAAACAAGACCCTTACAGGGTTATTCACAAAAGGGTGAAGGGTTTGGGGAAGGCAGAAGAAGTGAACAATCTAGGACAAAAACATATTTAGGAAAATGCACAAATATACTGTAAATATCGGAGGAAGAAAAATAACTGCCCTATGCCACTAATAAATACATTGCAAATAAAACAAATACTTGTATCATTCCACAGTATTTCTTGTTTTTGTATAGTGAAAATGGTCATACTATAGCAATTTAGTCAAACAAAAAAATGGAAATAACACTTAAAGCAGAACTCGAACCAATAATATGATAAAAATGAATAGCCCAATGAAAGATGAAATAACTAAACAAGCGTTTGCTGCAATATTCACCTTCATTACAGAGATTTCACCTGCATTACTTTTTTTCTGCCACTAATTGTCCTCAGACTAATAGGTAGCATCATTGAACCCACATCCTCTGAGCCCAATTTGTCCTGAACCCACCCCAGCCTATAAATGAACAGTAAAAGGAGAAGCTGCACAGTGATGAGCTCATCTCTTTCTCACTCTGCATTCTGCTTTCCTCCTATCAGAATGTTTCTTGTCAGCACAGGAACTGACTGGCTCCTTGTGCTGCTGCTTTCTCTCACACTTCAGCCCTGTTGTACAGGTACTGCAAGAGGCTGATAACGGGTCAAATTTAGGTACTTACTGCTTGCATTTAAAAATACATTTAATGGTGTATTAAGGACTACAGAGCTGTATTCATTAATTTCTTTTATATCTGCCTAGAGTTCTGCTTTAAAGTGTCGCTATCCAGTTGTGCTGCTGAAAGTACTTTATAGATTTTCAGCAATGCTATACTGAATGATGCCACCAGGGACCATTTATAGAATTGAAATTCTGCTAACTTGCTAAGAAATTCACTCTACAACCACACTCTGGAGCACAGGTACACTGTGAATAATCACTCTTTGTCATCACATGGCTGATAATTTGTTATTTCCAAGTCATTAAGTGGTCTATTCAAGAAGCATCTAGTCGTAGCTTTGGCCGATACTTTGGCTAGCTTCGGCCCCAGGACCCCTTCGGTTCAGTAGAACCGAAGGGCTGCTGTATGGGCTATTCACTATAGCCCGTAGAGCTCCCGAACTTGACCGAGCGGCTCAGTCGAGCTGAACGCATATGCCTTGGCTCGGCTGAGCCGCGCTGAAAGCTGAAGCTTGCCGAGCGGCCGGCCGACAGCCTGCTTCTGACAGCTGGGCGCAGCCAGCCATGATTTTACGGCTGGCTCCGGCCACTTGCAGAGAGATCAGCGTCCCTGGTTACCAGCTAACTAGGGACACTGATCTCCAGACAGCAAACTCTCCCTGGCGCTCCGGGAGTCTCCCGATCCCGGCTGCCAAGGAGAGAAATTTTTTTTTTTGGGCATAGGAATGCATTGCTAGATTCCTATTGGCTATTTCAATTTGCAATAGCCAATAGCAAACTAGCATTGCACCCACCCTCTGCTGCAGTTCCCCATCAGGTCCACTACTGATTGACAGCAGCAGAGGGCGGGTACAATGCTAGTTTGCTTTTGGCTATTGCAAATTGAAATATCAATGCATTCCTATGGCCATAAATGTATTTATTTTTTTTCTATTCTGACACGGCTCCGTGTCAAAGCAGTGTTTCTCTCCAGGAGCGCCCGGGAGAGTTAGGCTTTTTTTTTTGACGGCAGCAGAACCATCGGCCAATAGAAAACTGTTGGGCGGAGCTAGCTGTCATTGCTAGCTCCGCACAATCGTTTTCTATTTTTATTTTTCTACTTTTTAACTATTTTTCTGTTCTGCTCGGTCCCACAGAGTGACCGAGCAGAACAGCCGAGCTGAATGCCGCTTGGCGGCATTCAGCTATTCACTCACTGCTGTTCGGCATCTATGAGAATAGACCGAACAGCAGCGAGTAGCCTGCTGGAGGTTCGGCTCAGCCGATCCAGATGTTGGATCGGCTGAGTCGAACTCCTTCTGCACCTCGGGTCGGCCAAACATGCTGAGCATGTTCGGCCGACCCGAAGCCACGTGATGTACAGCTGACTTCAGCCGATATACGGCTGAAATCAGCTGTACCAGCCTGAAGTGAATAGCCGAACAGCGTTCGGCTCACTTCACTTCAGGTCGGTCTTTCACTCGGCTGCCTACGGCAGCTTAGTGAATAGACCCCTAAGTGATTTACTACCTAGTCTTTGTCATATATGCTGTGGATTCTCTTTATTAGACTGTATTAGATGATGATCATACGTAAAGGACGTGCCAAGTATATTTGTACCTATGTATCAAATAAATATAGTTTATGAAGTGTTACATTAGGCCATCAAAACTTAACCTGACAGATGTACAAGAACACAAGTGCATGTGAAAGATCAGCAAGTTAATCAGTTTTTTTTTGAAGGCCTACAGCCTTCAAAAAAGGAAATAATGTAGTAAGAGAGAGATTCCTAAAACAAAATAGGAATATTTTCATTCAAATATTTACATTTTTTCCATTTTGTTTTATTGTAATGTCTTTTGTAACTGAAAAACTCTCAATAAAAATCTATTGAATTAAAAAAAAATGTTTCTCCATGCACACTAACGAACCAAGTCCTACCACTACCGAAAGAAAAAAGAATAAAATGATGACACCAGTTATGCAGCCGTATGAGAAAGGATAGAATACTTGGGTGATACAAGAAATGGCTCATAGATTCTAGGAATTTGGACCACTGCATCATTCATTCTCAATTGCAAATATCCTACATATTTCAAAATAAAAAAACTGTAATCCCTACTATGGTATGCTCTCACACCATGCACGATACTGCAAATTGCTTAAGGCTTGTTAGGAGGGGTGGAAATGTGGATTTGGGTATTTTTAAGGTGACCCTTTTATTGAAGACTTCTAAAACTGAACAGAAATGCACATGAAC